CCGCGTTGCGCGCGCGCGCGGCTACTTCATAATCTCCGTATTTATCGCTAATTAGAATGATTAAAGGTGATCTATCGCGTCTCCGAGATGCGGCGGTTGATTAATGACACACGCGACTCTCGGTGCACCGCGGAGCTATAATAAATTCCATCTAACCGTGCATCCGTGTCGATTACGTTTACGGCGCGTTGCGGCGAAGTCGCGGGAAAAGTGTCGGTGGAAAAAGTGCTGCGGGGATTTGACGTGTCGTCGGGTGCAAGCGATTTTCGGTCAGCAGCACCGACAAATTTCTCCGAGGGAAAGGAGAGAAGAGGAGAGCGCGCAAAGTTTCCTTCGCAACGCCACCGCGAGCCTCGAACTCGGGCTTCTAGCCGGCACGTGGCGTCAAGAACGCACCCCGACAATTTTTGGCGTCCTAATCGCGCGCCTTATCGCGCGACGCATAATTCACGATAATGCCTCTGCGCAAGATATTAATTTCTATCGGAAGATCGGTCGACCGTTTCGAGCGCATTCTCATCCAGCAAACGCAAACGGTGTTTGACTCGGAATATTAATTCGCTGAGACCTCTCGATGGCACGGAATATGAATGCGTGCGGCGCCCACGTGGCGCGCCTTGCTGCTTTAAAAAAAAAGTGTGAGAGAGAGAGAGAGAAGAAGAAAAAGAGATCCTTTTTAAGTTGCGTTTATGCGCGCGGCTCGCGCTCACCTCGTTTCAACTCCCTCGGGAAAACAGCAGAGAGCTTATAGCGCCGTCCGCGCTAATGATGTTGTTCTACTTCGCTCGCTTTCTTCATCGACGTACCCGTCGAATACGATCCCTCAAAGTCGGGTTACATTTTCGGAGAGCGCCGATATCGCGTATCGTTATCGAATACATTAAAGCACATATGAATATATTCATATGGGTATAAGGTTATATAAAGTGATATCGGTATACCGCTGTATCCCGCGCGCGCGCGCGCCTGTCTTATTCTTTTGGATTCCTCGAGTTTCCAAACGGTCTCGCGTTTCAACAAATTATTTTTGCGAGAGACCGCGCTTCGTGTCCGCCAAATTCGGCGACCAACTCCAAGCGCCGCGACAAAACCGCAGATAAAGCCGGCAGTGTGTTGCACGCTGAGAAAAAAATATTTCATACTTGCGCGACGACAGTCACATAGTAGAAGAATTGCAATCAAGATAACCATCTTTTTTTGTATGTTTAATTGATTGCTGCTTTAGATTGATAGCGTTAGTAATGATAACCTTGCACGTGCATTGCCGCTACTACTTTTTCTGTCAGAATAACGAGGAGATACAGGAGTTGACGCCGAAAAGAAAGTGTAATTTTTGAGATTGACTACTTTTTTCTCTTAGTGTATTTTTCAAATTTAATCACATGTAGATATTGTTCGATTCTCTACATTACACGAGTTAGAAATCTTGTTAGAATGTTAAAATTTTCATGTTTTACCCATTTCTTATTGTTATTTCAATGTAAAATTATAAATATATTATCGATACATTATTATCTTCGTGATGTTTTAATGTGTTATATCAATGCTTTAATAACTTAACGTTTTTTGTATGTCACTTAGAAATGGAATATTATTTTGAATTCTTTTAACGCAATTATAAAAAAATGACATTTCTTAAAGTCACTTTAATATTAATAAGAACTTAAAAAGCGAATCCTCAAATCATTGTAAACCTTGACATACAGAATAACCAAATTTATTAAGCATAAATGTTTCTATCACGAATAAGTTAAATTAAAGTAATTAATATCATGTGTTAATATAATATGTAAAAATAAGTTATAACGCGTTCACCTTTGTACACGTTCACATTATATGAACAAAAATGTAAGGAATCGACATTCCTTACGAGTTATTTTAACTACTCTTCCGTATATTTGTTTACTATTCTTTACGTTATTTTTACAAAAATTGAGCTTAAAGCCAAAATAATAAGTACGAATGTAAAAAAAAACGGTGAGTGTTAATTAATTAACATCCGTAATTCATCAATAAGTGACAAGTTATTTTTATAAAAAATTTTGAATGGACTTTCTGGAATATGTGAAAAATATTAAAATTAACATTTTATTATTTATTTTTATTGTTTTTGTTAATTAATATTTTATTGTAGACATCCGCATAAATATTAATCATAAATTCCCCCCAAAACTCGACGCGCTAAGACATGCAGCGCGATGGTATCATTTAACTCCCCCCATTCCAGAGGAACACATCCTATTCCTTACTTCCATTACCTAAGCCCTGCACACAATGGTGAAAATATTAAAAATAAAAATAAGTATTAAACATTGAGCATATTTTATACAGGGTACAGCGGGGTAAATTGAATAGCGGGGGAATTTGGATAATATTAAGCGTTTGCGACAATTTCAGAAAAATATGAGACGCCTTGTTTTATGTTTGAGGTTAGCATGCTATATATTCATATTTTTATGCTATATATCATATTTTTCTGAAATTGTCGCAAACGCTTAATATTATCCAAATTCCCCCGCTACTTAATTTACCCCGCTGTACCCTACCTGAAATTAATTATTTCTCATATCTAATATTACGTTATTTTGATACTTGACTCCTAATTCGTAATTTGCAATACGTTAGTCTATTAGATTTGGTTTCCGGGTTTGAGCCGCGTGGATTCAACTTTGTTTGATCCCGACATTTCGCGAACATTCCAGTCCGCTTCATCAGGAAGGAACGACGATGCCGTTAGTCTATTCTTTGTTTTAAATAAAACAATTTCCTTCTCCTAGGTTAAAGATTACTTAATTCTTATTCCTATTCCTAATACGTGCTCCATTGTGCGCAGGATCTTGCGCATATCGACGAAGATCAGAGCTCCCTTTCGCGTGTGCACTCTCGGCTCGTGCCTCGTGATTTCCGCGCTGCCACCAATGCGGAAGGTCGCGGTCTTTTCGCGATACTCGCGCACCGCGTCCGTCCGCATGTTTGACGCAATCGGTTCGGCGGTTTGCCGGAATTTAGAATATTCCACACATCGATGGGCACACCGCGCGCTTCGCACCCACGCGTGTATGCCTCGCGCGCGCGTGTCGCGACCGCATTTGCAACGGACGCGACCGTGCCTAAAAATGGCCCCAGTTTACACTACGGTACCAGCCTGACGATATATTCATACGTGCGCGCACGTAGGTACGCACGCACGCACGCACGCACGCACGCACGCACGCACGCACGCACGCACGCACGCACGTAACGTAACGTACACACGCACGTACGTACGGCGATAACGATTAGAGTCGTAACGGATTTTTTCCCCGCCACGATCCATCTCGCATTCCGGCCTCATCGCACGCGGTGTAGAAGTTTCGAATAATACGTTCCGCCTCATTCCCCGATTCGGCGATCGAACGGGGGGCGCGTAACAGCTCCGGGCGCTTGTTACAAAACTATTCGAAAAACTGGTTTTCCGCCGTTCAGCCAACCCCGCCGGCTCGCTGCGTGTGCGTGCGTGCGTGCGTG